TGCGATCCGTTGCCGGTCACAAAAAAAGACAAAAAGGAAAAAAAAAAAAAAAAGAAAGAAATTGTGTTTGTTTTTAGTGATTTTAAGTACGTGAGTCAAGGACGCATTTCCCTGCAGTTTTTTGCTGTATTCTTGAAACATCATTCATTTATTCAACAAACGACCTTAAGCACCTGCTATATGTTAGGAGTGTAATGGGAAAGTTTGGGGAAAAGGTTGGTTCTGACTTCAGATTGTTCACAGCCTCTTGGGTAGCACTTAGCACAGGGTCTGGCACATAATACACAAACATCTCCCACAACCTGTGAGACCTCAGAAGGGACTGTCTAGAGGAGAAGGCACTAGAATGAGAAGACATCCCAAATCTTATCATGTCTTGTATAAATTAAGCATAAGAAAGAGATGATGGTTTATCTTTTAACTGAAAAATAAATGGGGTTCCTACCAAAACAGATACATGCATCCACATTTTTCCCATGGACAAATCAATGCTGAAACACATACTGTGTTTTTTAGTTGGCTGAGATAAAACAGCCTGAGGGGAATGCCATTTGTACATGAATTGAGTTTAAAAATAATACTTGCAACTTTATCTCTCTTGAGAAGCAGCATCGCCACTTCACTGCTGCCTAAACTTTTTTTTTTTAATTATAGTTTTCTAACAGAGGGAAGCAAACTCTGTAGCCGTAGGGATCTGAGGACATCATCAAAGTGATCTGTCTAAAGTGCAAGTTTTTATTAATACTTTGTGTTCATGTATATGCAATAAAATATATGTGTAAAATAGATATAATATTAATAGATTTGTTTTAGTATAAAAATGTTTTAAACTACTTACCTCCGAATGAAATTGATGCTCCAGGAAGATGTGTAGGGTTTCCAGAACACCTCTGTGTCTTCCTGGGGTTAGGTGTACACCAGTGTGAGAAGCTTAGCAAACTCTGAGACTTTTTTAAAAAGGCTTTTGTATTTAGAGATTAAAAAAAAAAGTGGAGGGAAGAGGGAATAAACAGATTGGGTGCCCTTTAAATCACCATGTGCTTTATTGCCTAGAGATTAACCATCCACATAGAAAATTCTTCCTGGAAATTTAAGGTCAGTTCCACCAAACCACTCAGCCAGCTTGGCAGGGGGTGTTGGACAACATAATCATAAATTGATGAGGATCAGAAGGTGGCGAATGTGTGTATGTTTGTGAATACCCATGTGTGTCTGATCATATTCCACTGGAAATATTCATAGTGCTTGGTTTACTAATTATTTGTGTCCTTGGCATAACTTCTACTCTCCATGAGCAAAGTGAGTGTTTCCTGTAAACACAAACCATAGAATTTAAGACAGACATAGAAATGTCATATTTTTCTCCTTCAAAAATCTGCAATTCTTTACAGATGACTGTCACAGTCTGAGGTTCATTAAGAGAAAAAATTAAAACTCCTGTCCATGCTGTTTGTGCTGGAAAGAGGTATTGGCACGTACACACACAGCCCTGCTTTTCCCATTCCAGGTGGACAATATCTGACAGTATCGGCAGCCAAAGCCCCAGGGGGAAAAGCTGCTCGCTTGGTGCTACCTCTCGGCCACCTCATGCATTCAGGGGACCTGTGCCTGTCGTTCAGGCACAAGGTGACTGGGCTGCACTCTGGCACGCTCCAGGTGTTTGTGAGAAAACACGGTGCCCATGGAGCAGCCCTGTGGGGAAGAAATGGTGGCCATGGCTGGAGGCAAACACAGATCACCTTGCGAGAGGCAGACGTCAAGAGCGTAAGTAGATCCACAAAGGAGTTAGAACCTGGATGTTTCCTTTCATAGGAGAACTCTGGGATCCGAATTTTAAGAAACCTTGTTCTATAAATTCAGGCTCAAAGGTTTGTGTTTGTTTTCTGAGCACAGTGACTCCATTCATTGCCTCTTTCTGTAGCCCCTTTCTGCTTCCACATCCTTCTTCACTGC